TTTTTTGTTCGTTTCTTAGTTTGATGGTTTATCAACTGTGCAATATGACTGCATAACAAATATAGGCCGATTACTCCCTGCACTGATGCTGAAGGATCTATTTTCATGTGATTGAGGGTTCCTCAGTCTGGTTTGGGTACATAAAAGGATCTGTAGGCAAAAAACTTTGGTAGCCACTGAACCTCTAGCATAGCATATTTTACTTAATTTTTATAGCAAAACCTATTAATCCATCCGTTCATCCATCCGTTCATCCATCCATCTAGCCATAATTTAACAAGCAAAATCCAGTGGTTATTGAAGCTTTTTTGATGTATGTTTTCTTAATAGTTAAAAAAATATATCCAAAACTGTAAAAAAAAAAATTTTAAATAAAATAATAAACCAAGAAAAGACAAAGTCAAAATATGCGTCTTGCTGTGGATTCCAAAGTGGGATTGATTCCACTGAGGGGAGCATTGATTTTTGCAGGGTGTGTGGCCTAGCAGGGCTGGTTTTCTTTATGCTGTCCACAGTGTGGACATTACAATGATTTGAGATTTCTTTATCTTTCATTTAATGAGAATTCTGTGGTGTATTTTAAATAAAGGTCAGTGGAGATTTGAAGCAGCAGCTTTGAACGTTTCTCCATGGGAGGACTTTACAGTACAGATAAATGTGGTTCTTGTATCTAACGAACAGTTAAGTGTGTGTAGCCTTCCTCCAATATATGGTGTGATAGTGAATGTTTTTACTGCAGAGCTGTTCTGCTCCTCTGACTAAATCCTTTAGTTAGCTCACAAAGGATTAGGTGGGAAAAGTCTCTATTTTGCCTCCAAACCCTGCAGGGATTTATTGGTGGGGGGGAACCTTTTTCTGCACTGCATCTTTCCGGATGACTTTTTATTTGCTTAGTTGTTTAATTGCATCCCACATCTGAATCCAACTCTCATTGCTTCACCACAGCTGGTTACTTGACTACTGTAGTCATATATATGTAAGTGCGCTAAATTAGAGATGTATAATACACACTTGTTACCGTGTCAGTGTGTTCTTTGATAAATACATCTCAGCCTGGGGATGTTTACTGTAATTTCCGGACTATAAGCCGCTTAAACAATGATGCAGCTAATTTATGGATTTTTACAGGATAACGCTAGCGATCAATGACTTTTCTGGTAGGCTACTGTGTGTTATACTAGTAGTAGTGTATGTGTCTCTGTGAATGGCTGTATGCGTATATGTGCGTGGGGCAGAGAGAGAGCGTTAGCTACAGTTGAGAGCAGTTTGATCCCTGTCATGTTGAAGCGTGAGTTGGTTATACAGGAGCTGTTAAAACTCTGTTTATGTTCTGTTGTGCTCGGTGTGGCTGATAATATGGCACTGAAGCAGGAAAGAGCTAACGTGTAACTAGCCATGTTACAGGCACTGTTCGGGGTAAAAAAGGATTTATTTATTAAAAGTAATATAAAAAAAATCTGTCTGTGTAAATATCCCATGTTACAACGTGGACACCTGCGGCTTATAGAGAGGTGCAGCCTATATATGTACAACTATTTCTTTTCTTTTTAAATTAGTGGGTGTGGCTTATATTCAGGTGCACTCAATAGTCCGGAAATTACGGTATATTTTGTCAGTATCAAAGGTTTTCACAGACGTCTGTACTTCTTTCTAATCTCAAGCTCGGGCCACTTTTTAGTCACTGAATGCCACTTAAGTACATATAGCATATGAAAAGCTTTCTTTCCTTTTGCGTACTCCCATGTGAATCAGAAAGTATATTCAAACGACTCAAATCCCAGTGGAGCTTAAATGCCTACAGCCATGTGGGAAACACTATTATGAAAAACACGGTAGGTGTTAAAGATAATGGTGGTTAAAAAAAAAAACCCAAAAACTATCAATGCCATAAAATGATACCAGCCTTGAAAGTGGTGGTTGCTTTCCATGTCAACTAAAATAATGTTTTTTGTTCCTTTAAGGTATGCAGAAAGTATTTGTTAACACAGGTAGCTTCCTCTGCAGTCCCAGCAGGAAATGACCCAAAAGTAGCAAATCTGTTTTTTTTTTTCTTTCTTTTCCCTCACAACGAGCAATTGTGGTCCCCTCTTGAATGCAATAAATGCTCCTCATGACAGGGACTTCTAGATGGGAGAAAATGTCCCAGGATCAGTCAGTGTGATGCTGTGCTGTAGCATTGAGTCGCAGTTAGTCAGTGTTGCAGCACACCTACAACAATCTCCATCCATCCATCCATTTTCATCCGCATATCTGTTACCGGGTCACGGGGGCAGCAGTCACCACCCAAATCACCGTACAAGGCCCCCTCAACCTTCCTGTGGGTGGTGAGTCCACTGGAACCCTAACCGGGATTTGATCTTCCCTGGGGTTCCACACCAATGACAGAGATGTTACCTCTGGGCCAAAGTGCCACCCTTCAACAATCTCACAACAAAATTGTACTTCTGCCTTTTCCATACACAAACCATGAAAGTATTTATTACAGAATTGCTAACAATAATTCCTTGAATTGAAATCTCTTAATAGTCCCACACAGGCTGCCACGGGAGGCACCACTGAATACATGGCTCCTATGGGGCTTGAACCTAGAACCTTCTGCATGTTGTGATAATCACATCACTTTATCTATCATGGATTAGTAATGATAGTAACTACGTATAGTCCTGTTAACTGTCCCCCCCAAAAAAAATCCCCAAAAAATCCAGCAAAACAATGAGAAAGTACAAACAGAGGGCAACATCACTGCACATAAATAAAGTAACGCACTTTCATTGTTTACAAAAAAACCCCCAAAATGCTTCAACAAAGTTGTCCTCTGCATCTGAAGTTAAGTGAAGCTGGAGCTGTGGCTTGCATTTCACTTCAGCCGGGAAGCAAAAGAAGCAGTCATTGTGAACTCAGTACACAACTGCGCTGCAGGGACTGGTAATTGAACACACAATCCTCTGATCACAAGCTGAGCCTTTCACTGAAAAGCCAAAGGCCTGGTGAATGTTTTCCATGGTCAAAAGTGGATTTGATCTTCAAACAGAAGACTTAAAAATGTTGATAATCATAAATGTAAAACCGTTACTGTGGTGTTAAGGAAATATTTCTTTTTTTCAAATGAGTTAAATTGCTGCGTATAACAACATTCACAGGAGTGTTTAACCAAGAGACAGAGAATGTTTGAGGGACTGTGTGAATAGATGCACACAGGAAAGACAGCCACTGAGATTGATTTTACGAAAAAACCTCAACTGTACATCAGACATCCTTTGCTCCAGCTTTACAAAGATAAAGGGAGAGCTGAAGATAGACGGAGGAAGGGGAGGAGGAGGGAGCCAGACGAGATAGGAGGACATGAGGGAGAACAATGAAAGAAGGGATGATAGACTATGATCAGAGATGAGACAAGAGGAAAGGCAGAGTCATGGCCAGTGGTTATACAAACAACTCCAGCTTTACATCAGACGAGCTCACTCCCCACGCTTGTGCTTGGAGAGTGCGTGCCAAACCCCTCACAGACAGCCTGCTGGTATTCTTTCTGCTATTTAAATGCATAACTTCCATTGACTTCTCAGTTTACAGTCTTAAAATGGTAATGCTGTGCCCTGAGTCACTGAACCGTCTATATTTTTGAGAGATGGTATTCACCCCTCTTGCTGTTTGGCCTTCTGGCTCCACGATAAACAGGTCAACAGTGAAGATATGTCTTTGGTTTATACTGTATATGATGGGGATTTATCCCACTCTAAAATCATTGTTTAGAGTCAAATTCCCCTTGGAGATGCTTTCATAGAAATTGATAGTGGTGACATCAGAGAAATACGAGAATGCGTGAGTGACGTCTTCCTCATAAACTGAAATAATGGAAAATGTCTTTGTTTGCTTATAATCATATCATTTTAATGCATCTATGTAGAATTTCCTGTAGAATATACTGTGTATATATATATATACAGTATATACATATATATGTATATATAGAGAGAGTAGATACACATTTATACAGTATATACATATATATGTATATAGAGAGAGAGTAGATACACATTCACAGACACTGTGAACGAGTTTCAAGCTCAGTTTCAAGCTTAAAATATCATCTCAACCACCATCATGAGTTCATAGAGGTTTCAAATTTAGGTGGGGTCAGATAAGTTGTATAAGCTTAGGATCAGTCAACTGATAGATACTACTGAGGATGAGAACTATTCAAACTATAAGAAAGCAACCCTCGACATGTTCGGTCCGCAGTCAGGATCCATAGTAATGACTAAAATCCCAAAACGCCATTAAGTGACATTTTTATTTGAATTTATCACAATTAAAAAATTAATGAGCTCAACCGTTTATCCAATCAGTTGGTCTTTTGTTTGCATTTATCAGCACCTTTACACACTGCAAATAAACCTGCACTGTTATTCACCAAAAGAAAAACTAAGTTTGAATATTTAATTTGTGTAGATGCGCCAAGTGAGGTCAGACGGTGACGTCTCTGCCTCACGGTCATATTTATCAATGTTGATTACCCAGAAATAATCATGCTATCTCATGGTTCATCATAGTTTATAAAAAGGGTCAAGGTTTTTTGTGAGCTGATGATGATGCTGTACAAAATGTTTGTCTGCCACCTCCGGCAACAACATGAACCTATGAGCGTAGAGTTACCTCAACATTATCAACCACGCTACAGCTTTTCACAGCAGTGTTCAGTGGTGACCAGGGTCTCAGTCTCACAACAGCATGTCAAAATGCCATCTTCTCTACAGGGAATGTCATGCTGGGCTGAAATCGAAAAACATGTGTCCTTAGGTCATGCTGCGTCTTCAACTATTGGGATTTTGCTGTGCCAGGTGTATGTAGTTTCATACATGAGCGTAGCAGAATCATGCAAGTCAAGCAAGTGTTTAGTTTTAATGTTGTACTGGTGTAACAATGAAGGAGACAACATTAATGTGTAATGTGTCTGCTCTTTTTCTCTTTTCCATGTATCCCTGTTGGCTCAACCTCTGAAGCTGAAGAGTTTGCTGTTGAAGGTAAGGCTGTTGTTTTGCTCCTCAAGCCCTCTGATGGCTTCCCAAAAATGCTGTAAATGAATCTGATGCTGGCTCTGTGTCACTGCTTTATGTCCTCCATCTGGGGAGGAGCATTGTCAGTTTGGACTGCGGTTATAAGTGACTTAAAGGGGCCTAAATTACCGTTTACAATCAAAACATTACCTAAAAGTTGCACAATCTAATACGTCCACTTGTTTTATTCCCTGTTTATTTTATGCTGTCTTTTTAGTTTTTTTATTTTTATTTTTTTTCTCGCCAATGAAGGCTGACTGAAACAAGACCAAGTGGTCTGGAAATCAAACAAAAAAAAAAGTGTCAAAGCTGACAAGAATATATTACGATGCTGTCTTTTATTGCTGTCCTGCATGTACAACACCGGTAACCCTAGGCTGCCAGTGGGGGCCTCTGAGAAGCTTCGATAGCTCAGGGGCTGTGTACTAAGAAGTTGTCTTTGCTTACTCCGCACTGATCCGGAAGATCAGGCTGTTTTGATTCTCGGCGTTGCACTGCGGAATGGTATAGATGCAGGTGTCAGCGTGTCTTTGCAGTTTTTTTTTTTTTTTTGCAGTTGCATTTCCTCCTTGCTGAGTCCAAGGTGATAGATTATCTGTCACGTAGACTAAACCAGGGCAGGAAATGACTCTCTCTCTCTCTCACTTTCTCTCTCTCTCTGTGTGTGTGTGTGTGTGTGTGAATGGGTTTTTAAAGATAAAAAACACACCTAAAGCTGCAGTTGTCTTTCATTCTAATGCAGAGCACATGTTGTTTATCCCACAGTAGTATGGAAATACACAGGTGTGTGTCACTGTATCAGTGTAAGGTTTTTAACAGTGAATATTTGGCCTCTGCTTGATATGTGGAATTTATGCATGTGAATCGACAAAGATGGTGTGTGTGTGTGTGTGTGGTGTTCGTACAGCGAGTTCTTCTCAGTGCCTTGATGGGTGAATGTCAGAGTTAAAGTTGGAAGAGTAATAAATGGTAGCAATCACACAACCTTCGGCAACTCTTCCTGACAGACGAGACTGATGTGGCTCAAGGCGAGGAGCGTCAAACCTTTGTGTGTGAGAGGTAAAGGAGGTGCACAGGATATAGCATAGTCGAGCATATTTAGGATTTTTGTGACGGCTGTGCTTAGATTGGGGCGTCAAACATACGGCCCGTGGGCCAAAACCGGCTCGCTAGGGTTTTCAATCCGGCCTGTTTGAAAAATTTTGAAAAAATACACAAACACAGGGGAAAAAGATGGGCTTATTGTTATTTACAGGAGATTATGCTATGACTGTACTGGTCCGGCCCCTTGATATCTAATCAGGCTGTATGTGGCCCCTGAACCAAAATGAGTTTGACACCCCTGGCTTGGACAAAGTTTGATATCACCCATATCTGATTTTTTACAACGGTGTAAACGGCTTTTTTCCAGATTCGACCCAGACCACCTGCACATGTGCTACTTAATTTGACCCGTATCCAACGTAATTAAGCAACCTTAGTCTGAACAGTCACATGTGACATTGCATCTGACATTTACGTCACTGTTGTGAGACAGACAGCAGCAAATAAAATGCAAGTAATGGACACAAAAAACAAAAAGAAATTAGTCAGTGGAAAGAACAAGATAGTCGAAGTCTCGTCACCAGCTGCAGCTGCAGAGACAGTGGAGGTCCTCTGATTGACCTCAAATGGGATGACAATGAATCCAAGACAACTTCCAAATTGACATTTATGCTGACAAGTGTACCGTCAATATTTACCTCTTTAAACACATTTGATTGATGACGGTCACATTTATACTATAATTCAAAGTTCTTTAGCAAGTAACAGATGTTGCACTCTCCATTCTGAGACAACTGTAAGGTGTGTTGAAAGAAGACATTCAGTTTAGGCTTGTGTCCTCACTGACTCTAAGTGGGTGACAGCAATTGGGAATTTTAGGGTTTTTTTTTGGCACATTGGGACAGTCTCTAATGAGGATGTTGTTATAGAGGGTAAATATAATGCCCACACCTCCACTCCTTCCCTACAGTCATGTAATTACACTGGTGACATGAGTTGTGTTCTAAATTATCCCCGTGCTGTGTATCAGCACGACAGCCCCACAGATGGATTCATTAATGTCTCTGCTACCAAACTTTCTTGGTGCTGCTGCGCTCCTGTCCCCTCTATTTTTAGGGTTTACCTGTGACCGTATTTGGTCTAATTAGTGCTGTGACCGCATGTTCGAAGGTTGGTTGAGATTGATGACGCGGCGCGTTGTTGAAACCCCTAGGGGACTGGCACCCCTGGAAGGTGGCCGGTGGCCCTCGTTCTTTGTCGGCCGCGATTTATGATCCAGCTGTGACACTGACCTGGTTCTTACGAAGAGCCAGCCATATTTGGCCATCTGCATGCTACCATGTTTGGGTCTATGCATATGTACAGCAGTGGTAGTACGTAAGGACAGATTTACCTCATCATCCAGGTTAGGTAAATAAAGAGTGAAACTTTGCACAGACATGAGGACACTATGCAAACAGTTTGAGAGTCTATCAAGATACCTGAGAATAATTGTCACATTTGTATTGTAATTTTACTATTCTTGAGCATCTACCATAGATTTACATGTAGAAATACTGCAGGTAAAGAGGTTTTATTTACTCCGTCTGATGGTTTCACTGACCATGACCAGAGTTGCAGCCTCACACACAAATCTTATCCAGGTCGGGGTGCCTTGCCCCTGGGATTGGCTGATAGATTTAGTGACCCTGCGCTTTATTTGGGTGAGAGATGTTCTGCACTGGCCATACTGATCTTTATCAATCTGATCAAGGCCAATGATCTCGTCTCTCTGAGCCGCACAGACCTTCAAACTAATCTTAGCTATGGGGAAGGGCAATGACATTTTTTTCCCTTTTCACACGTTAAAAAAAAAAAAAAAAAAACCTAGTTGGCTAGAAAAACTAGATTACAGATGGGAGAGGTCCATAGTTGAAGGAGATTAAATTGTGTAATCCAAATAAGATTAGATCGGATTTTCTCCGACTTTATCAAGTGAAATAAAAACCAAAGTACAAAAATTACTTTTTGGTGAATGAAATGCAAAGCCTTAAAATGGAAGAACACCAAAGATCAAGGAATTACTAGATGTACTACTGCTGATGCGGTATTGACCTAGATTTAGTTTGCCTGTGAAACAAATGGTGCATTTATGGGATCTTTTAAACTTTGTCCGACTTAAAAAGGCTGATCACCTATAGCCTGGGTGGTCAGCCTTTCAACCAGGTACTCAGAGGGTGCTTTCAGACAGACACGCTTCTGGCTCCTGTTTCTATTCTGAAACAGACAGACACGGTTCTGGTTCTGGCTCCTGTTTCTATTCTGAAGACTGAGAACCTAGGGGCTTTCCTGCAAACCAGCCCGCAGAAAACAAACACAGCAACATGTCAGATTGCATGGAGCATCTGCAAGCTTTCGTCCTGTTGCGATAGACATTTCTTTTAATCCAACAGTCCAGCATGCACCAGCTGTCGAGAGCTGGTGAGAAGACATAGAATGAGAATAGTGTGTAAAAAGTACACGTAGGCCAATGCGTCCTATATATCTTGGCCACATAGCAATGGCCAGTGCACAAGCCAGTTCAAAAGTTTCTTCTGGAACCAGAACTGACACGACCAAATAATATTTCACCAACAGTAATTTGCTTTCACATTAGCATAGCCTAGTAACAGAATTTGTCATTTGAACAATGCTTGACACCGTTTTGCTGTCATATACTGTCAAAGACTCGGTGTAAGCAAACAAACACATTCCAATAGTAACCTCATTGGAATTGAAGAAGAAAAAATTCTTATTTCTGCAGCCCTGAAATTGCTTAACAGCTTCTGTATAGCTGAATGCCTTGATGTGTCTCCTGCACGGCCAGCCTTTGCCAGATGTTGCTGTGAGATTAGGTACCCTCAGGTCCTGTGGAAGCTAGAGTCCAGCCATGCCTGTTCTCACAAGATGTTAATAGAAGATCCCCACTACACACACACACACACACACAGCGCAAACTCCCTTTCCCTTCTCCTTTTCTGTTTTCCTGCTTTGTGATAACCAAATGTAAGGGGATGGAGTGGGTGTCTGCTCATGAGCAACTCCAGATGCCTCAGTGTCAACATGTGTAGCCTCAGGCAAAAGTCTTTTCTGTGATGTAGAGAGAAGTGGAATGGACAAAGAAAGGCCCAGAGCTTTGATGATGTGTATGGTTTGTGTGTTTGAGAGTGAGAACATTCCATGTGCCAGATTGTGCTCCTCTGCCTGAGAAACCACCAAGCATGGTTGTCAAACATGGTCACTCATACACAACAGGCAACCGTGCTTGGATTTTCCCTTTAGCTCCATCATGTAGTTATAATAGTCTTAATAGTCAACACCTTCACTTTTTCCTGTAGCGAGAAACCGTGGAATTTTATTCCCAAAGTTATTTTATTTTCATTGTATTTATTTATTTCAGTTAGAGGAGTTTTATTAAAAACAGTTCTGAGTGCATATGTTAGCCTCAAAGCTATTAGCAATTACCCTAGAGGCCAAAGACAAACTTTGTGTATTTTTGAGAATTGTCCTTGAAGTGATCCTGATAAAATACCCTAATAATAATAGTTATTTTTGCTAGGCTGAAGGAACATTTGCTTACTACCTAGCCAGTGATGCAAGCTAAGATTATATAAATATATATGTATATATATACACACACACGCACACACCATCCCACAGTTTTTGATCAATCTTCAGCTACCATGTTTTCCTGTCCTGTCCCTTTATCCATTTACTTTTTTTTCATATATATATATATATATATATATATATATATATATATATGATTAAATTTTTTATTAAATATATATTTTTATTAAAATATATATATATATATTTTATAATATATAATATATATAATATATTTTTTTTTTTATTAAATATATATATTAAATATATATATATA